CACGAATTTAAAGCCCCGCTGGCCAATCCGCATCGTCTTCTAATCGCCTCGGTGACCACTAACAGATGTGTGGAGAGGCGTGACGAAGGCAGAGATCTAACGGGACCGCTGTCTGCCGATAGCCCCTGCCCTTTTCCCCACGTCACTCGTGCAGCCAATCAGGTTGCAGGTGGGGTGCGGGACGGGCCGATCGCAAGCAGAGCCATCACTTCTTAGAACTGGAACCCTCCCACTGGAAACGTAATTTAAATCATACTCCCATATCCTAAGGGATGGGGGCGGTTTCAGGGCGGTTACAACATCGCGCTTAAGCCCTAGGGTGGAGCTGGTACCACCAACTTTGACCGCTGAGTGTCTCTTTTCACTTTCAGTGAAAATTGTTTACACAATTTTTTTTATCTAGTTCTCTTAAATTATAATGAATAAAATCACATAATTATGTGAAAAGATTACATAAATATAGACATAGAATGTATAATTTGAATTAATTTGCATATGCCCACCCAGAATCCTTTGTGGTAGTAACATCACTGCAAATGTGTGATTCCTGTGGGAAAAGCAAGTCTTATGGTTTGACTGGTGTGCAGATTTTTGTTTAACATTGTATTAACTATCCACATACTTCAGGTGGAAGGGGTTTTCAATCACAATTGTTATTAGCAGGAAAAGGAATGGAAACCATGTTAAAGTATAGGATTGTTGAACATCTAAAATCACATGGATTTCAAGATCAGAGACAACATGGGTTTACTTCAAGGAGATCATGGCAAACTAATCTTATTGATTTTTTTTGATTGGGCAACTAAAATAATAGATCAGGGTGGTGCAGTAGACATTGCTTACCAAGATTTCAGTAAGGCTTTTGACACTGTTGCACATAGAAGGCTTAGCAATAAACTGCAATCTTTAAGTTTGGATTCCATTATTGTTAAAAGGTTTAGGCAGTGGCTGAATGAAAGGCAACAGTGGGTTGTGGTCAATGGAGTATGTTCAAAGCAAGGTCTTGTTACCATTGGGGTACCTCAGGGATCTTTACTTGGACCCATTCTCTTTAATATTGTTATTAGTGATATTGCAGAAGGTCTTGATGGTAAGGTATGTCTTTTTGCTGTTAATACAAAAATTAGCAACAGGGTTGATGTTCCAGGAAGGATAAGCCAAATAGCAAACCTTTTAGGTAAACTAGAAAAATGATAGGGCTGTGGCAACAGACATTTAATGTATATAAGTGCAAGATAATGCATCTTGGATGAAAAAAACCCAAGGGCAGAGTATAGAATATTTGGTAGAGTCCTAACCTCAACATCTGAGGAAAGGAATTTAGGGGTAATAATTTCAGATGACTTAAAGGTAGGCAGACAGTGTAATCGAGTAGCAGGAAATGCTAGCAGAATGCTTTGTTGTATAGGGAGTGGTATTAGTAGTAGAAAGAGGGAAGTGCTCATGCCATTGTACAGAACACTGGTGAGACCTCACTTGGAGTATTGCACGCAGTACTGGAGACAGTATCTCCAGAAGGATATTGATACTTTGGAGAGAGTTCAGAGAAGGACTACTAAACTGGTTCATGGATTGCGGGATAAAACTTACCAGGAAAGGTTAAAGGATCTTAACATGTATAGCCTGGAAGAATAACGAGACAGGGAGGATATGATAGAAAGAATTAAATACAAAAAGGGAATCAACACAGTAAAGGAGGAGACTATATTTAAAAGAATAAAAATTACCACAACAAGAGGATTAGAGGGGCAAAGGTTTAACAATAATATCAGGAAGTATTACTTTACTGAGAGGGTAGTTGATGTGTGGAATTGCCTTCCAGCTAAAGTGGTAGAAGTTAACACAGTGAATGAGTTTAAGCATGCGTGGGATAGGCATATGGCTATCCTAGCTATAAGATAAGGCCAGGGACTTAAGTATTTAGAAAAATGGGCAGACTAGAAGGGACGAATGGTTCTTATCTGCCATCACATTCTATCTATGTTTCTATGAATCTGTGGAGTCCATTAACCCCTGCTGACTAATTTAACGTAATCCATACAATATCCAGATGCATATTTGTAGCATAAGAGATTTGTTAAATGTTGACAAGCGATTACTATTTCAGCAATTCTCATATTTTTTTGTACTCTAGAAAGCCACTCAGGTTATGGTGCAGTCAATGCAGTGCAATAAAAAGGTTTTTCTACACTGAACAATATGGTATGGTTTATCAGTATGGCATCCAGGGAAAAGCATACATCCCCATTGAAATAGAGCAGTAATGAAAATAGGTATACAGATTGTACCCACTGATTCTTTAAAAAAATAAATCTAAAATCTTTCTACTATCTTGCTCTGTATGGTAACTGGATGAAAATCAAAGTAAACAGCTACTAAAGTAGAGTTCTGTGTTTCAGGGTGTGATAACTGTGACAAATAGTCTAAAAATAGGTTAAGGGTCATGGAAATATACCAACAGAAGAAAGACTCCCTAGGTAACTAATTAAATTGTGACACTAATCTCCAGATTTAGATCTATTTAATGATCAGAAACAGATGACATGCACTCACAACTCATGAATGTCAAATCCCAACCTTAAAAGTTGTTGTGTTGAGACTACTGGTAAATCTCAAAGAAAAATATGTACAAAAGAGTATGAACCAATAGATTAAATCATCAGAATAAAATGAGTTGCTCCACATCAAGACTGCAAATGATGTGTAATAGCAGAGTCAAGTTAAAAACAGCTATTTGATATTGAATGTGGGAGTCAAGTCACAGAGGTCAACAACACAATATGATCATTTACTCCACAAGGACACGTAGTTTATAAGAGGAATTTACGCCCATTTACAGAATCTATAGTGAATGTATAACCATGTAATAAATCCAAGCGTCGAGTAGTCTAATGTCACTCCTTGTTCCTATGCATTGAAGATGTGGAGAGGGGGGCTTTTACTCCAAATGTATTAATTAATATTGTGCAAAAATCAGAGGAGGTATAAGGTTGGGAATAATGGTTTGAAAAAGGTAAAACATTTGTGAAATATTGTTTTCCCACATTTCTTAGATCTATCCCCTTGATTTGTGACCAGTGGTGAAGATTTTGAATTAAGCTCAAACCGTGCAAAGTATGCATTAAATAGTTCTGAGGTGGTGGAAGTTGTCATATTTTTTTTTTACACCCCCATTTAAATATTGTTAATAAATGTAGAATATGTTTGCATTCTATAAATGATAATTATAACTAAAAGTTAGCTATTGATTGTGTGGATTGTGAAAAGTAATACATTAATTTTCAGCAAATAAAAAATTTTATTTTTAAATTTCCAATTTCCAGCAAGAAAAATCCTGCTTAGAAACCTGTTATTTTTGTGTCATTTTTTTTGTCATAAATACATTATGGAAATGTTTCAACTAAGGGTCGTATAATTGTCTATTTTATTATACATATTCTGCATTTAAAACACAACTATTATTTTTAAGAGCCCAGTGAGTGTCCTTGTGTGTGAAAGTTAGCAAAATAGATCACAGGAACCACACTCACTCCCGGTGGCCACAGGTGCTCCGGAACAGGACCAGCAATCCCAACACATTAAGGCAGCAAGAAAGATTCCCAGGCACTCAAAGTGTGAACGTCGCAGGCAGATTTATTGAAACAAAAAAAGACAGCAACGTTTCGACCTACTGAGAGCTTGAAAAAAAAGTTGCTATCTTTTTTCTTTCAATAAATCTGCCTGCGGCTTTCACACTTTGAGTGCCTGGGAATCTTTCTTGCTGCCTGTGTGTGAAAGTTAAACATATTACCTACAGTTTTGGGTGGCCCATTAGGATAGCCAACATCTCAGAAGCTTATCTTCTGACTGGGACTTGAGACACTCAAATTGAACAGTCAAAAAATAAGGAGTGTCTCCTAATATGATATAAAAGAATAGTTTTGTTATTTCTGACAGTATATAAATACTTTGATGTATAAGCTTTTTTTTATGAATGAGCATTTGGGTAGTCCAAGTCCTGAATAACTGTCAGTCAGCAGTCCACAAACTACAAGTGACCTACATATTGTGTTATAAACAAATGCATTTGTTAATTCTGGTATATGCTTATTTTGGTGCTGAAATGTGGTTGGTTGTTTCCTTTCTGCTCGGGTTTGCAACTACAGAGTTAGATAATTAGACAAGTTTGGGGTTTTTAAAGTGTCTTGAATTTAATGAAATATCTACCATTAAGAACAATCCTTAGAACCTATGTTCAGGTTTTTTTTTTTATAAATGAGTAAGGAAATGTCTACTCTTAGAATCATATTATTATTCCTCCTTTGATCATAGGTACTCTGTGATCAGTAAATAACTCTTATCTTTAAGAACCTGGAGAAGGTCCTTGTGTTTGAAGGTTTAAAAAATTACTTATACAACAAACACTATAGAGGAGAACTACAATTCATACATAACACCAGAGTATATTAAAATTCTTAAAGCTTGAGTCTGTGGTTATATATATATTTATTTATTTTTTCCTTAATAAGGTGTTTTAAAGCATTTACTGCCAATTATCAATAGAATCACACATTCATTCTAAAACTTAGTTAGAAATAATAATATAAAGTATAAATGATCCACATTAAAAATTCCTAATCGGGGGGCGGGGCCTGACCGCCATGCTGGCCGGTCGCATGGCACAGCAGCTCCAGCAACTTTCAAAGCATTAATCTATAACACAAAACTTTTTTGCCCTACCCGACGACCTACAGAGGTGGGCCGGCACATGGGAGACTCTGGAACCGGGGAGAGGCTTGCGACTAACGTTTTAGTCCCCCGGAGAGATACGCACCGCTCCTTTTGGATGAGGCCTACTCAGGCGGTGAGCGAGACGGACGGCCGCCGCCCGCTATCCTGCCCGATGCTGTCTGGCCAGACTCCCTTAGCTGAGCGGACCGGGCCCTGTTCCCCCCCCCTGGGCCGGCGGGGGTGATCCCGGCCCACACCCTATACGCTCTGCAGCCTCTGCTACCTCGAAGCACCCGGGGCCCTGAAGGACTGCAAACACGTAGACCAGGCCACGAGCCATATCTAAAATGGCGGCGCAGTGACCCTGCTGGCTCGCACAGATACCTGCGGCTCCCGGGGGGATGCCATCTACACAAGCCCTGTGAATCTGATCTAATAGACAACCCCCCGGGCATGCTCGGCCGGCCGGCACAGAAGGCACATCACCTCCACAACGGCACAGCGACACCTAACTGCCAAACCGCAAGGAGGAGACACCAAACGGCTGGAGGAAAACAGCTGCGACAAAATCAGGGGGACTTACCAACCTTCAGCAGCCACAAAGCAGAACTCGGGCAGACAGGACTTGAGGAACCAGCATGAGTCTCAAAGCCTGCCCAACATCCCTCCGGGGAGCAGGAATGCCTAGCTGCGCGACGGCGAGGCTGTGGGGTGTTCATACAAGCGACTACTTTCAGGACTCTAAGTATATGCTAAACTATGCTTCAAACAATCGCAACCGCAAAAGCAGGATAGAATGCCCTAGCAAAGTTAACCTACGAGTAATCAGTCACTTAAAACGGGTGCAAGTATCACCTAGTACCTTTACCCTGTATAATCACATTTTAAGCTGTACCTGTATTGACACAGCATACAAACCTTATGTCTAACTAGTGCAGCGATGTTAACTTGTTATAAGAAAGATTTAGCGAAGTTCACCTAGCATGTTAACCCATAGGTTACAAGATTAACCAGTTCACTAAATGGCCAAACGATGAAAATAGCAGATTTCCCGTGTAACCAGGTTCTGTAACTAACAAAAAAAAAAAAAAAGTGCTATATACGAATGCCATGATATTGTGAAATGTAACACATGTACTATTTCATTGGCTTGGACTAGCTATTGTGGCTTGACAAGCGTGTGTGTAAAACCTAAGCACTGCAAAAATAAAGAATTAAAAAAAAAAAAAATTCCTAATCATCCAGAGTATCAATATATTATAGGTCAGACTTTGCGAGATGGATACACATACACCAAAAATTCACCCACATGGTGCTATGGCACAGAAATCTTGCATCCATTTTATTATTTTAGGGCATTCAGAAGGCAATCCAGGAGGGCATCAAAATAGGTCAATCACTTTACTGCACAAAATATTCATAACATATTTTCCCACCATTTGGTTCTCAGATCAAGTGAGAGAGAAATAGCCAATATAGAAACAACATCTATATTTATTAAATATATAATATATAAATACAGATTTATTTTTCTTCCTCCTTAATTTGTTGCTTTAATTGGCTGTCCCCTAACAATCAATTATCTATTTTTTACTACCACAGGTGGAACTCTGAATTAATAATTAAACAAAACTGTTCGTTTATTGTCCATGTTAATTGTTTTATGATACTTCCCTGTGGCACTTTTAGCTCCTCTTTCAATACTCGGTATTTGTCCACCTTGTCATATCCATCCTTCTTTATGCTTTGGTCACTGGGTATTGCCACACTCACCACCACTGCAGTACCACAAGAATAACATTTGTATTTTCACATATCTTAACTTAGGCACATCTAGCCTATATTCTGTGCAGATGTTTTGGTACACTATCCCAGCAACCTGGTTGTGACTTCAGTTGATGCTATTCCAGTTAAATTCTTGCACCTGGCTACTGTGTGCTCTTTGCAAAGTATGCAATTGTTTGGTAGACCCTGCTTCTATTGATCAGATGGTGACTACATGTTACTGTGCTGCTAAGATGAGTGACTCTTTTACATATACATTTACATTGATATATACAGTGTATATATATATATATATATATATATGTGTGTCTGTCCGGAAAATGTCCAGCCATTGTTAAGATAATGAGAATGGCTTGAGTGACATAGATGTAACCTGGCAGCCAAGGAGAGTGGACTGGAATGAGCATTGACAATTTCACTGTACTAGTCAGTTGAGGGAATAAATGCTGTTGACTGAACATGTGTACTGTGTGGCTGTTGCATTCAAAATGACTGATCAGTGAATTTTCATAAAATGTTGCATTAAAGGACCACTATAGTGCCAGGAAAACATACTCGTTTTCCTGGCACTATAGTGCCCTGAGGGTGCCCCCACCCTCAGGGACCCCCTCCCGCCCGGCTCTGGAAGGGGGAAAGGGGTAAAAACTTACCTTTTTCTGCAGCGTTGGGCGGAGAGCCTCTCCTCTCTCCTCCGTTACGCCCACAGCTGAATGCCATCGCGGCGAGCTGCGCGCACATTCAGCCGGTCTCATAGGGAAAGCATTTACAATGCTTTCCTATGGACGCTGGCGTGCTCTCACTGTGATTTTCACAGTGAGAAGCACGCAAGCGCCTCTAGTGGCTGTCAATGAGACAGCCACTAGAGGATTAGGGGGAAAGCTTAACCCATTCATAATTATAGCAGTTTCTCTGAAACTGCTATAATTTTGAAAAAATGGGTTAACCCTAGCTGGACCTGGCACCCAGACCACTTCATTAAGCTGAAGTGGTCTGGGTGCCTAGAGTGGTCCTTTAAGCTTGCACATTTTTCCACGGAAACTATTCAGGTGATTCAGAAGACATAGAAACATAGAAACATAGAATCTGATGGCAGATGAGAACCATTCGGCCCATCTAGTCTGCCCAATTTTCTAAATACTTTCATTAGTCCCTAGTCTTATCTTTTAGTTAGGATAGCCTTATGCCTATCCCATGCATGCTTAAACTCCTTTACTGTGTTAACCTCTACCACTTCAGCTGGAAGGCTATTCCATGCATCCACTACCCTCTCAGTAAAGTAATACTTCCTGATATTATTTTTAAACCTTTGTCCCTCTAATTTAAGACTATGTCCTCTTGTTGTGGTAGTTTTTCTTCTTTTAAATATAGTCTCCTCCTTTACTGTGTTGATTCCCTTTATGTATTTAAATGTTTCTATCATATCCCCCCTGTCTCGTCTTTCCTCCAAGCTATACATGTTAAGATCCTTTAACCTTTCCTGGTAAGTTTTATCCCGCAATCCATGAACCAGTTTAGTAGCCCTTCTCTGAACCCTCTCTAAGGTATCAATATCCTTCTGAAGATACGGTCTCCAGTACTGTGTACAATACTCCAAGTGAGGTCTCACCAGTGTTCTGTACAATGGCATGAGCACTTCCCTCTTTCTACTGCTAATACCTCTCCCTATACAACCAAGCATTCTGCTAGCATTTGCTGCTGTTCTATTACATTGTCTGCCTACCTTTAAGTCATCAGAAATAATCACCCCTAAATCCCTTTCCTCATATGTTGAGGTTAGGACTCTATCAAAGACTTCTGAGGACAATGTAGTGCAAATAAAAGTGAGGCACAAATGTTTCAAAGATGTAGAGAATCTGTTGAAACACTTGGCGGCCTGCGACTTTTGGCTTTTCCCATATACATATGACTAGGCAGCTGATGGTGATTCCAACAAAGGATTTTGCAGAGTGTTTTGAATAGTAGAAGAGATGCTGGGAGAACTGTGTATGGTCCCAAGGTGCCTATTTTGATGGGGACTGAGGCATCATTGTCCTATAAACATCTGTAAATTGTATCTTGTTCAAGAAATGCCTCTATGTTTTCATATTACATGGCTGGATACGTTCTGGATGTATCTCGTGTATGTATGTGTGTATGTATATGAGAGAGAGATCTCTAATATGTTTTTACAGAGCAATAACAAAAAAAAACACAATCATTCATGTATACATACAGGGCTTAGTAAGGTACATGGCATGTGATTTGGGGAAATTATTCAACCAGAGGGGTATTGTTTTATAACGTACTTTGAGTCTGGGCATAGACCAAACCCTGCAATTAATGGGCTAAAATTAAAATGAGTGATTTTAGGGCCAACATGGATGCTTTAAAGGATAAACCATCTTAATTTTAATGGCTTGAAGTTTTAGAACCAGCAATAGAGGCAAATAACCCCCAGATCTCTAGCACTCATGCATGCATACATTTTAAATATATGTTTGATATATAAAAAACAAACAAACAAACAAACATTAAGCCCTCTGTGAATACTATTTTAGCAACATACGTTTCTACCCTTACTTTTTTGTGTCAATATATGCCCCTCCCTCTAGCATGTAAGCTCATTTAAGCAGGGCCTCAACCCCCTCTGTTCCTGTGCACCCAACTCCTCTGGCTACAAATACGTGTCTATTAGTCCACCCATTGTACAGCACTGTGGAACTTGTGGGCGCTTTCTAAATAATGTCACAATTATGCTAAAGAACATCAAGAAAGTCTAGTAAAGGTAATTTCACATTAAAGAGCATGCTAAATTAAATAAGCAAATATACAGTACTATCTATTTAACTTTTAAATTATTGTGTCTTGTCTTCCAGCACATCCCCTCTTTTTAATTTATTAATTGATTTTTTTAAATGCTAAATTGAACAATATATCAAATGGCAAAGAATAAAACATAGCAGTGTCAACCTTTCATTCTTGGCATACTTAATTGACCATGAACGTGTTAGCTGTTGAGCTTTGATTTGAGGCACAACTAGAGCATAGGTACATATTATTTTTAATGAACAATGAGGTGTGAAATTAATCATATTCTTGTCAACAAGATAATAGTGGATTATACACTATTCATGGATGAACAAATACATGACAAGTGAGCTGGATACTGTTTTCTGGAATGTCAATTAACATTTATATTTTAGGCATGCAAATGTAAGGGTAAGTTTAAAAATAAAGCCATGCCTCGAGGTCTAGTTCATGGCCCTTTAGTTATGTATAGAAAACAGATGCATTTCTTTCTTTTCACCTTTAGTTTTAAAATATATAGTTATATATTTAAAGGGTATATTTTCTAAACTCTTAATGCCACAATTATTCAAATAATAGGTCTGCTGACAGTGGGTTGAGTTTCAAGAAGCAGAGAAGCGTTTACTCAAATCGATTGTAGAATATAAAGCTAAAAAGGGTTATACCAGTACTCTCCAATTCTGTGAAGCCTATTACATGGGAAAAAAATGCTAGGTCTAATAAAATATAATCCTATTAAATGGGGGAAATCTATTAGATATGATTATTATATATGTATGAAAATATGGTGAGAACTTATTAATAATTTAAAAGTAAAGGTTTTCCTTTTGTTTTTATGAAAAATGGGGAGCAGGAGTCATTTTAAGTTGCTCACTCAAGGGTGGGGGGGAGTGATGATGTGAACACGCACACATGCTCTGCAAGGAAGAGGACCCACCGTGGGCAAGAATGCTGCCTGGCATCTTGCCAAAGGATGGAGCTCGTTTACCAGTAGAATAGAGAGAGAAGCTCCTGTATTCACTCCAGTGGTAGTAGATATGAGGAGGAGTCAGAAGGGGCCCTCATTAAGC